CCACGTACAGACTGGCGAAGCGACTCAACGGCCTGCTGACTCCTTATGTTCCTTGCGCCTTCAGCCTGAAGTCTCCAAAGGAATTTGTGGACTTACTGCGGGGCGCACGGGCCACAGGGATAAGAGCCTCGTTGGACGTAGAATCGCTGTTTACCAACGTACCTGTGGACGAGACAATCGGAATGATAGCCGACAGAGTGTATCGTGATCCAGCCTGTACTCCTCTTGACATGCCAGAAAGTATTCTGAGGAAACTACTCCAAGCTTGTACTAAAGAGGCACCCTTCTTGAGCCCGGATGGGCACATGTATAAGCAAGTAGATGGGGTCGCCATGGGTTCTCCCCTAGGTGTCCTGTTTGCAAACTTCTACATGGGTACCATCGAGCAAAAAGTCTTAGTCGACATGAACTTGAAACCGGCCATATACTGCAGGTATGTTGACGACATTTTTACACAGGTACCTGATGTCAGACATCTGCAGGAGCTGAAGGAGGCATTTGAGCAGAGTTCCGTGCTGCGTTTCACTTACGAGACGGAAAAGGATGGGAAGCTGCCTTTTCTAGATGTAACAGTCATGGAAAAGGGCGGAGGTTTCCACACTGCAGTCTACACAAAGGAAACAAACATAGGAATGTGCCTAAATGCCAACAGCGACTGCCCTGACAGGTACAAGAGGAGTGTTGTTAACGCATACGTCGACCGTGCTCTCAGCCACAGCTCAGAATGGAAGCAAGTCGACGAAGAACTCTGTAGGGTAAGGCAGGTCCTAGTCAATAACGGCTTCTCCAATGGTTTCATCGAAGACATCATAAGAAGGAAAGTGAAAAGCCATGCAACCTCCGAAGAGACAACTAACACAACACCTATACCCCCTATTAGACTATTTTACAGGAACTTCTTTTCCACAGCTCATAAAACAGAGGAAAGGGTCCTGAAAGATATTGTTAATAGAAACGTTATCCCTACAGACAAAAATCAGAGGATACAACTGACGATTTACTATAAAACCAGAAAAACGGCCAGCCTACTCATGAGAAACTCTCCAGACACAAAACAGAACGCTTTAAAAGAGACTAACGTCGTCTATGCCTTCAAATGCCCACTTGGGGACTGTAAGCTCCAAAAAACCCAGTATATAGGCAAGACAACAACATCTCTTTCTAGGCGTTTAACGATGCATAAACAACAGGGCTCCATTAAGGAACATATAATCTCTTCCCATAACCAAACCATCGCCAGAGAAATCCTAGTAAACAACACAGAAATCATCGATAGATACAGCGATAGCAGGCGGCTTGACGTTTGCGAGGCACTACACATCAAGAAGTCAACACCAGCAATCAACAGCCAATTATTGCACAACTATATTCTACCCACCTCAAGACTCCGCTCCAATATAGAAGCATCAAGAAATATGGACCAATAGGCTTTCTACAAACACTTCTATTCAATACCCATTGTTTCTGTTCTGTCTTGTGTTGATACTTTTAATACCCTATTAATATCCCCTAGTGTTCTATCTTGTGTTAATGCCACATCACCCTTCCCACCTCACTCAAATGTAATGCCACATCACCCTTCCCACCTCACTCAAAATGTAGATATAAAATCAGGGAAACGCAAGTTCTAATCAGTTGTGTATTTGTGAAGTCTTTGAAAATGTAATAAGTTTTACGAAACGCGCCCGTGTCGCGTCAGACTAGAAATAAAAATGAATTTTGGAGAAGTGATTTTTGATTTACCTCCAACAGTGAAGCGTAATGTACGAAAGATTGAGAAAATTCGTGTTAGAATTATTAATCTTACTTTTTCGGTCATATTTAATAATATATATATATATATATATATATATATATATATATATATATATATATATATATATATATATATATATATATATATATAATATATATATATTGGTGTATACTGGCAGCAGGTTTTCTTTCAAACATGTTTCATTGAATATGACCGCATATTCTGTATTTATTATTTTCTGGTTTAGGGCTTCTATCCCTCTAACTATTTTCTTAGCATCAGGGCTTAATTGAAATAGGAGTTCTCCAAAACTCATTTTCGTACTTTTAAGGTGAAGAAAAGAAGTGATTTACTATAGAGTGTATTACACTTATTTGTATAATTTGCACGACGTTTCGAACCTCCATGGTTCATTCTCAAGTGAACAGATCTTACAATACTAGTTGATTTTATACCCGCATTAGGTCAGGTGATAATACAATGAAGGTGAAAAACATGGGGGGATACATAAGGGATAAACATAGGGGCTGCAGAAGGCTTATTGGCCCATACGAGGCATCTCCTATCTAAACACAAAGATTTATCCCTTATGTATCCCCCCATGTATTTCACCTTCATTGTATTATCACCTGACCTAATGCGGGTATAAAATCAACTAGTATTGTAAGATCTGTTCACTTGAGAATGAACCATGGAGGTTCGAAACGTCGTGCAAATTATACAAATAAGTGTAATACACTCTATAGTAAATCACTTCTTTTCTTCACCTTAAAAGTACGAAAATGAGTTTTGGAGAACTCCTATTTCAATTAAGCCCTGATGCTAAGAAAATAGTTAGAGGGATAGAAGCCCTAAACCAGAAAATAATAAATACAGAATATGCGGTCATATTCAATGAAATATATATATATATATATATATATATATATATATATATATATATATATATATATATATGAATAATATAAAACTCACACCCCATAAGTGACTCGAACCCATACTCCCAGGAGCAACGCAACTGGTAACTACAGGGCGCCTTAATCCACTTGACCATCACGGCCGCCAAAAGGAAGTGATGGTCAAGTGGATTAAGGCGCCCTGTAGCTACCAGTTGCGTTGCTCCTTGGGAGTATGGTTCGAGTCACTTCTGGGGTGTGACTTTTTCATTCGCATATAGTCCTGGGGACCATTCAGGCTTGTTCGCATTTCATAATATATATTATAGAAAATATATTAATTCAGGAAATGGCTTATATTAGGCAAATCGTGCCTTGCATAGTAGGCCGAGAAGTGCATTCTGGCTACTATTTATTATATATATATATATATATGTCGTACCTAGTAGCCAGAACGCACTTCTCAGCCTACTATGCAAGGTCCGATTTGCCTAATAAGCCAAGTTTTCCTGAATTAATATATTTTCTCTAATTTTTTTCTTATGAAATGATAAAGCTACCCATTTCATTATGTATGAGGTCAATTTTTTTTATTGGAGTTAAAATTAACGTAGATATATGACCGAACCTAACCAACCCTACCTAACCTAACCTAACCTATCTTTATAGGTTAGGTTAGGTTAGGTAACCGGAAAAGTTAGGTTAGGTTAGGTTAGGTAGGTTAGGTAGTCGAAAAACAATTAATTCATGAAAACTTGGCTTATTAGGCAAAACGGGCCTTGAATAGTAGGCTGAGAAGTGCGTTCTGGCTACTAGGTACGACATATATATATATATACACATAATATATATATATATATATATATATACACGATATATATATATATATATATATATATATATATATATATATATATATATATATATATATATATATATATCGTACCTAGTAGCCAGAACGCACTTCTCAGCCTACTATGCAAGGCCCAATTTGCCTAATAAGCCAAGTTTTCATGAATTAATTGTTTTTCGACTACCTAACCTACCTAACCTAACCTAACTTTTTTCGGCTACCTAACCTAACCTGGATAGATAGGTTAGGTTAGGTTAGGTAGGGTTGGTTAGGTTCGGTCATATATCTACGTTAATTTTAACTCCAATAAAAAACCAATTGACCTCATACATAATGAAATGGTAGCTTTATCATTTCATAAGAAAAAAATTAGAGAAAATATGTTAATTCAGGAAAACTTGGCTTATTAGGCAAATCGGGCCTTGCATAGTAGGCTGAGAAGTGCGTTCTGGCTACTAGGTACGACATATATATATATATATATATATATATATATATATATATATATATATATATATATATATATATATGTCGTACCTAGTAGCCAGAACTCACTTTTTGGCCTACTATGCAAGGCCCGATTTGCCTAATAAGCCAAGTTTTCCTGAATTAATATATTTTTTCTAATTTTTTTCTTATGAAATGATAAAGCTACCCATTTCATTAGTATGAGGTCAATTTTTTTTTATTGGAGTTAAAATTAACGTAGATATATGACCGAACCTAACCAACCCTACCTAACCTAACCTAACCTATCTTTATAGATTAGGTTTGGTTAGGTAGCCCAAAAAGGTAGGTTAGGTTAGGTTAGGTAGGTTAGGTAGTCGAAAAACAATTAATTCATGAAAACTTGGCTTATTAGGCAAATCGGGCCTTGCATAATAGGCTGAGAAGTGAGTTCTGGCTACTAGGTACGACATATATATATATATATATATATATATATATATATATATATATATATATATATATATATATATATATATATATAGGTACGACATATATATATATATATATATATAGATATATATATATATATATATATATATATATATATATATATATATGTATATATATATATATATATATATTATATATAATATATATATATATATATATATATATACACAGAATTGAAACAGAAATTTCCTTACGTACTTTTGTATATATTATTAAATACGAAAGTACTTAAGGAAATTCCCGTTTCAATTCTGTCTTCGTTCCCTGACACTATAATATATATATATATATATATATATCTATATATATATTATATATATATATATAACTTCCAGATCGTGTTATGATAAATATAATAAATTTATATTTAACTTTTTTCGTCAGTCATGTTCCGTTTCAGAATAATTTCTTTTTTCAGTAGGAAGATGAGCAGTTAAGTTAATAGCTTAAGTATTATCACTATGGCATAATGATTTACATAAACAACTTACTCTTAACGCAACAGGAGCAGCTTGGACTAGTGCAGATATTGTAGATTGTGTCCTCATCTGTGTTACATTTGTCGCTGCAGTGGCCTCCCCTGGCTGTACACGCGCTGGTTGGAGTTTTGCAGTCTGTGACAAAAATGTTTAATTGCATTTTTTTTAATAACGAAAGTGTTGTAGACAGTTGAAGAAGATAAGAGAGGTATAGAAGGAATCAAAGAAGGCCAGGGAGAGACCTTCTAGTGTTTTTACTGCCAAGACGCAGGTCCCTGATCAAGAAGGAAACATGATCAGAGTGATCCAAGCAGTGTCAAAGTTGTCTGAAGTGTTATTCAAAAGGATGAAGTCAACCATTTCCTTAAACACCTCGACATAGGTTAAACAATGGGGCCATATAAGCACATCAACAACTGTTACATATTTGTGCAGATCTGCTGGATCCACACAAATCTCTCTAGCTGAAGGAATTTTGCCCTCGCAATGTTGATGGTGCATATAGTTGCAAGTCACAAAGCAAAAAGTCATTCAATTATTAGCAAAGTTCTTGTGACAAAATCTCAAAAACAAATAACTTTTTTATTACCAACATAGATTACTGTTTCAGGAAAGATCATTCGGCTTCTGATCTTTTGCTAATACTCTTCACAAAGTAGCATCAGTCATTGGAGGACTCCAAGACTAGTTGTGCCATAGACCTGAACACTACAGACGACTTTGATTGGGTTTAGCACTTCAGAGTTCTACATGTCTTCAAGCACTGTACTGTAAGTATACTGTAATATTTACATATGGGAAAAACAGCTGTACAGACAAGGCAGTAAAGATACTTCCAGCCTTATTTTGCATCCCCATACATTTTTGACAGCAGTCGATAGAGAGATAGAGGCAGTCGTGAGTATCTTGTTGAATCACTTGGATAGAAATTAGAATAGAATTAAAGGACTAAAAAGATTATTAATATGTATAATGTATGTGTGTAAATGATTGAATATATATATATATATATATATATATATATATAATTATATATATATTATATATCTATATATATATATATATTATATATATATATATATATATATTCAGTGTGTGTATATATGCACATGCGTATGTAACATTAACAATTGTTTAACTAGCTTCAAAAGATTGTCATTACTTACCTAAACGAACTAGGGGGTTCAGTTCCTGAACCCATTATGTGCTAATGTAACCCTTTCCACCGCCGCCCCCAAGATGGGTATAGGGTGTATAATAAAGAAATACGTTGAAAAGAGACAAATATATAGATAGAGCAAGAACTTTCGATTGTATATCAAAAGATGGAAAACTTCAATGAATGGATAATGAGCTTTATTTGTTAACCACATGATATAATCTAAATTTGATAACAGATTTCAAGATTCTACGAAATGCATTTACATGATTCAAGTTATTTCGAACAACTTTACCTTGAAAAGAGACATGAATATTCATTCAGAAGATTTTTCGATACGCTGTTAAATGAATGAAAGTATTAGATTAATGATCCAATAACAAAATATTTTTTTTTAATATAAGGAAATAGTAAAAACAACATTATGCAACTACCAAAATTTGTTGAGATTCTAAATTAGTAAATTTACATTTAAATTTTACATCTAAATATATATTTACATATACGCTTTATCAGCGACTACCTGAGAATTCAGAATAATTATTGTTCACTTCAGGAATATTATCAGTGTAATTAATACATAAAATAATGTCTATATAAATTAACGATTTACAAGGAAAAACTTACTTTTAACGCAACAGGAGCAGCCTGGACTACTGCAGATATTGTTGACTGTGTCCTCATCTGCGTTGCATGTGTCGCTGCAGTGGCCTCCCCTGGCTAAACACGCGCTGGTCGAGATTTTACAGTCTGTAACAATATTTAGTGTCATTTTATATTATTACTAAACGGTTCTAGACAATTATTGGTGATGGAGTATGAGAGAGAGAGAGAGAGAGAGAGAGAGAGAGAGAGAGAGAGAGAGAGAGAGAGAGGACTGTAAGCAGAGATATAGATAAGGAGAAAATAAGTAGGAAAGCTAATTTAAAACAAAATGCAAGAACTTTTGAAAAAGAGTTAAAAATGCTACTTATTAAACAAAATTAATTATGACTACTTATTATACCAATATCAATATATAAAAAAAAATCTAATATTTTAAGCCCTCATCATGGCAATGTTCAAAATTGCAAAAAAATTATATTCCCGCAAAGCCAATAATTCAGGGATAACGAAGTAAATGCGTATGAAATAAAAGGAATTACAGGGAAAATTAACCTTGTATTGAGTCTTGTAAAGGCTTACAAGGCTAAAGTTTACCACTTACAAAACTAAAGTTTAGCCTTGTAAGTGCTAATATGAGAATGTATATTTAAATAAAAAAAATCTAGGGTCCTGATATATACTTAAACTTTCATATTTTTTCTTAACTAATAGGTGTGAAAATTGCCAACAAGTCAAACATGATATTAGAGGGGATACCGGCGGAGCCTGGGTCTCTCTCTATTTCTCGTTCCCTCTCACCTATTTACCCTCCTTTCCATTCTTCCTAACTCCCAATCTCCCTGCCTCCCATTCTCTCTCTCCATCCATTCTCTCCCACCTCAGTCTCCGATATTGTATCAGTGTTATCAACGTTGACAACAGCCGAGAAATAAACTAGAAAACGATCTATGGACAATCAGATCAACATTTCAGACTTCATATGAGTCGTTTGTTGTAGCAATTGGATCTACTATTACTTAATGACGGGTATGTAAGTCAACCCCATCCACCCTATGACACGCCATACAATTGCAACTCACCATAGAGAGTTGCGTGGGGTTAAATGCAACCATCTGACCTCCATCCTCGAATAGACAGACAGATTCGCAGGTAGACATATACTTCCAGAAACTCAATTGTCCAGATGCAGTGATCCTTTAAATATTCTTCATTTGAAGGAGACTTAGATAACCACACACAGAGATCACACTAACGTGATGCATCATATGAACAAATCCACAAGGGCCGTGACGAGGATTCGAATCTGCGTCCGGGAGCATCCCAGACACTGCCTTAATCGACTGAGCTACGACAGGGTTAAAAGGGTTGAAACCGAAGTTCTTCTGAACTTACTGGATCCCGTAGCCTCTCCGAGACACAAACCAGGCTTTTACACAACCCCCCCTGCACCCGAGGTATGTCAATAGGCCGTTCTCCCTCTTCGTCACGTTCTAATTCCTCGTCATGGCCCTTGTGGATTTGTTCATTAGACTTAGATAAGTATACGTAAATGAACAAAAAAATATTTTCCAAAATTTGTATCCAAACTTTAGACAATAATTTAGCTACGAAATTATAGAATCGATTGCCACAAATGATATTGACAGCTATTTCCTTAATATGTCATATATTTGGTCAATCTGTTTGAGAGCTAGTGATGAAAAGGTCATATAATTCAGTTGGATTCTTTCTCGACTCACAGTCAAGGATCCCGTGTGTGACAAAAATGATAGGGCACACATTCTTATACACAATGTATCTTTCACCATGCTTTAGGTAGGTACCTTGAAGTTAGGCAACTGTTGTTGGGTTCCATTCTTTGGAAGGTCAGTAGTTCAATCTTGTTAGAACCTCTGTACAAGTCTGAAGTATATATTCACAGGCTTTCTATCACCGAGCAAACAAATTACAATTAAAGGACTCCCACTGACAGCCCTACATTCAGCTTTTAATCCACAGAATCACAAAATCTAATGAACACACACTGTCACACCAACAGGTTCACATAAAGATAAATAAAAAGAGAATATTAGAATATTATTAAGTGACTGTCACTGTAGCCCTCAATGCTTAAACATCAATGTTAACAAAATCTAAAATCAACTCAACAAATTAGGATATCAAATTTAGTTTCCCAGAGAAGCTTTGAAAGTTACCGAAGGAAATTTCAACCAGACTATCTCACTAGGCATAATGAGAAGAGAAGAGAAGAGAAGAGAAGAGAAGAGAAGAGAAGAGAAGAGAAGAAAAGTCATTCGTTATAGTTCAAACATAGAGCATATTGCTAGGAACGAGCAAAACAGGAAAACAAAAATAATTTTTAGTTACCAAAATAAAGTTGGTAAAGAATTACCCAACGTTTCTCTCCAGACCTGATATTACTTCATACTTTCATTAGTCGAATTCAAGAATCTATTAAATGCACTTACTTGATTCAAAACTACTTTAAACAACTTTACCTTGAAAAGAGACATGAATATTCATTCAACAGATTTTTCAGTACACTGTTTAATGAATGAAAGTATTTGATTTATGATGCAATAACAAAAATACCTTTTTTTAACAATGAGAAAATAATTAAAAAATATAAATTACTTAAATACCATAATTTGTTGAGATACTAAATTAGTGAATATATATTTTAATTTTACTTCTAAATTTCAATTTCAATTTTTGTGTTATCAGCGACCAACTGCACATTCAGAATAATTATTGATAACTTCTGGAATATTATCAGTGTAATTAATACATAATTTAATGTCATTATTAATAAACGATTTACAAGGAAAATCTTACTTTTAACGCAACAGAAGCAGCCTGGACTACTGCAGATATTGTTGAATGTGTCCTCATCTCTGTTGCATGTGTCGCTGCAGTGGCCTCCCTTGGCTAAACACGCGCTGGTCGAGATTTTGCAGTCTGTGACAACATTTAATTGCATTTTATATTATTAATAAACAGTCCTAGACAATTATTGGTGATGGAGTATGAGAGAAAAAGAGAGGGTAAGCAGAGATTTAGAGATAAGAAAAAAATAATTAGGAAATTTAATTAAAAAAAAATCCAGAACTGTTATATCAGTATATAAAATGAAAAGTTATATCATGTCATTTATTAAACAAAATTAATTATGTCTACTTAATATAGCAATAACAATACTTAAAAAAATTCCAATATGTTAAGCCCACAACATAGCAACGTTCAAAATTTCCAAACTACCAGACAAGAATGTTCACTCCTGATAAAAATATTCATAAGTGAATCCTTCATTTTTTCAAAAACATTTATGAGTATATTTTTTATCATCATAACGACTTGAGAAAGACTCAAGGGTTATCTTGAGATGATTTCGGGCTTAGCGTCCCCGCGGCCCGGTCTTCGACCAGACCTCCTTTTTGTTGCATCCCCCAGAAAGCAGCCCGTAGCAGCTGTGTAATTCCCCAGTAGATGGTGACCCCATCTACGTGCTTATACATGTGCCCATCCGGGCTCAAGAAGGGTGCCTCTTTAGTACAAGCTTGGAGTAGTTTCCTTAGAATGTTTTCTGGTATGTCAAGAGGAGTTCTGGCCGGACCACGATACACTCTGTCCGCTATTATCCCGATGGTTTCATCCACAGGTACGTTGGTAAACAGTGATTCTACGTCCAACGAGGCTCTTATCCCTGTGGCCCGCGTTCCCCGCAGTAAGTCAACAAATTCCTTTGGGGACTTCAGGCTGAAGGCGCAAGGGAATAAGGAGTCAGCAAGCCGTTGATTCGCTTCGCCAGTCTGTACGTGGGTGTGGGTATCTACATGGGTACCATCGAACAAAAGGTCTTAGTCGACATGAACTTGAAACCGGCCATATACTGCAGGTATGTTGACGACATTTTTACACAGGTACCTGATGTCAGACATCTGCAGGAGCTGAAGGAGGCATTTGAGCGGAATTTTGTGTTGCGTTTCACTTACGAGATGGAGAAGGATGGGAAGCTGCCCTTTCTAGATGTAACAGTCATGGAAAGGAGCGGAGGTTTCCACACTGCAGTCTACACTAAGGAAACAAACATAGGAATGTGCCTCAATGCCAACAGTGACTGCCCAGACAGGTACAAGAGGAGTGTTGTTAACGCTTATGTCGACCGTGCTCTCAGCCACAGCTCAGGATGGAAGCAAGTCGATGAAGAACTCTGTAGGGTAAGGCAGGTCCTAGTCAACAACGGCTTCTCCAATGGTTTCGTTGAAGACATCATAAGAAGGAAGGTGAAACGCCATGCAACCTCTGAAGAGACAACTAACACAACACCTGTACCCCCTATTAGACTATTTTACAGGAACTTCTTTTCCACAGCTCATAAAACGGAGGAAAGGGTCCTGAAAGATATTGTTAATAGAAACGTTATCCCTACAGACAAAAATCAGAAGATACAACTGACGATTTACTATAAAACCAAAAAAACGGCCAACCTACTCATGAGAAACTCTCCAGACACAAAGCAGAACGCTTTAAAAGAGACCAATGTCGTCTATGCCTTCAAATGCCCACTTGGGGACTGTAAGCCTCAAAGAACTCAGTATATAGGCAAGACAACAACATCTCTTTCCAGGCGATTAACGATGCATAAGCAACAGGGCTCCATTAAGGAACATATAATCTCTTCCCACAACCAGACCATCACCAGAGAAGTCTTAACAAAAAACACAGAAATCATCGATAGATACAGCGATAGCAGGCGGCTTGATATCTGCGAGGCACTACACATCAAGAAGTCAACACCAGCAATCAACAGCCAATTAATGCACAACTATATTCTACCCACTTCAAGACTCCGCACCAATATAGAAGCATCAAGAAATATGGGCCAATAGGCCCTTTGCAGTTACTTCCATTCTTCCCTTTAAACTTACCCAATATTATACCCATTGTTTCGTGTGTCTTGTCTTGAAAGTTTGTTTTCACCTCATCCAAAACTGTTGTAACATATCACCTCACCCAAATGCAGGTATATAAAATGAAAGCCATTTAAATTATAGCATAGTAGGACTCTGTTTAGTGTTTGAAGGTTATAGTGTGTGTGTGTGTAAACTAAAGTCTTTGAAAATGTAATAAGTTATTACGAAACGCGTTCAA